GCTGGGGCAGTTGGTGCTGTGATCTCCCCGGCTCCAGAGGCCCTCAGCCTGGCCGGGGGTGGGGTTTTATCGCCCCGGGGGTGGGGTTTTATCGCCCCGGGGGAACAGGGGTATTTCTGCCTGTTTGGGTCATGGCCCAGAGTAGTACCACCATCTCACAGGGCCTGCCGAGCAACTAACTGCCTGGCAGCTTCAGCGATGGAAACGCTGTCTCCCCGTGCTGCGGCTGGGGGTGGGGGGGGGAGGTTGCTCTTCAAGGGGCTGGTGGAGACCACCAGGGTTTATCAGGGATAGTGCATCGGTGACTGGCGGTGCCCAAAGGACTATATCCAGATAACCCAAATGGGTGTTTAGAACAGCTGTTCACTTCCAGGTTGTTTCATGAGAGACTTGAACTCCGTGGGCAGATGCTGAAACAGTGCCACAAGAATTAGCAGGAGTTTTCTGTTAAACAGTATAAACTGAGGACTGGCTAAGCACTGAAGAGGGACTGCTGTCTCACCTTACTGATAGAGCTTCTGTGGTCCTTTCTGAGTACTCTTTCTGTCTTGCACTATGCTTTTCCAGTAAGGAAGTGCTTACAGGTTTCCAAAGAAAACTAAACTCCTTCTAATAGGGGGGAAAACTAAGCCTTAAAGAGTTGATCTTTCGTAGTTTTAAGGAGCTTGTGCAAATTAAAGGACTATTTCTATCCGTCTTCCCAGGGAGAAGTTCAAAAGGGAGCAAATATGGCCAGCAGTCACAGACCTCCAATAGCTCGTCCTTCTTCAAGAGCAGGAATAGGGCTCACTGCAAGGCCTAGCTCTTCATCAAGGACTCCATCAGCAACCAGAATAGGAACAGGGGTATGTTAAAAAATTTGAACATGAACTTTGATATATTTAGATTTTTGTCCTTTTTTTGGGTAATTTTTTTTAGTAGCACAAGTGATAGTTTCTGAGGAAGAATTTTAAGATTTTGATTTTGTACAGAGTTTTATTTTCTAATTTTGACTGAAAGGGGTCAAGGAGATCTTGCATCAAAAGTTCACCTGGGAGACCTTAATAGCAGTAATACTGCAGACAGAGGGAACAATGAGCAGGTGCTCAAAGGTGATCTCTTACCCTTCTGCAGCAGATATTTGACTGAAGAGATGTAAATGCTAAAAGATTCTTATAGGAACAGTATAGAGGCTAACTTAAGTTTTTAATTGCTTTGGAAGTTGCATAAACTCAATTCAGGGTTGGGAGGTTTGTGTTTTATTTTGTTTTGTTTATAGATGCCTCCTAGTACATCAAGACCTGGTTCTCGCGGTGGTTCTTCAACTACTGGAGGAGTCTTATCATCTCAGATTAAAGTTGCAGACCGTCCAGTGACTCAACAAGGATTAAGTGGAATGAAAACTGCGATGAAAGGTATTTTTGACTGAAGATAGCTATCAAGGTGCCTGCAAACGTTTTAAAGGAATGTTTAGGGTTTTAAAGGAAAACTTTTCATTGCTGTATGAATTGGAGAGTGAATAGCTATGATTAATAGGAACAGGAGAAAGGAAAGGAAGATTAAAGCATGTCTCTCATTTTGTTTACTCTTGGCAGTCAGAGAAGACAAAGGCTTTTCTGTGCCTGAGCTGTATTTAAAAATCATTCTAAAGAATACAACAGGATCAATTGTGTCTTCTTGCATCACTGCAGAATAATTAAAACACTGTATTATATAGTAACTTTATATAGTTGAAAAAGTAGTGTCTATCTTCACAACAGTCTAAAATGAATTTCTGCCTTTGTTTTAGTGAGGTAAAATCTATTTAAGAACACTGAGAAGAACAATCTGCAGATTGTTTTCATAATTTACAGTTCATCAAAATTAGTTGTTTTCTAACAAAATGCCATCTTATTCTCCTTTTTCAGGTCCTCAGAGACAGATAATGGATAAAACATATTACCTTGGACTGTTGAGGTATGTCTTAACAGCACATTCAAACTGCAGAAGGTTTAATGCTCTGTTCCCTTTCTGACATGAAGTTTGTTGTGCTTAGCCATACAGTGGGATAAGCGGTGTTCACTTGTAATGAAATCTGTCCTGTTATAATAGTTAAGGTCATTTTGCATATCGTTTGTAGGAGGAAAGGAATTTTATACTTATGTGCAAGTACAAGTAGATTCCTTTGACATTTTGTTTTTAGGCTTGCTAAGTTAAATGCACTCTCACAGCATTAGTAAAAGGAAGGTCAGTGATTTTTAACTTCTACCTGTAATGCTTGATAGGTCTGATAGCTCCATTTGTAAGAAGTAGCATCACAAACTAAGCACTTTTTAGTGTACGTTCCAGTTGACTTACTTGGCTTATACATTGAGCTAACACTGGCAAAGGCAAAACCTTGTGGAAACTGTATTGCTACTTTGTCAGTTGATAATATTGCAGTGTTGAATAGTGAGTCCTAAAAGATGTCATTTTAAATATAGATGATACCCACATTCTGTGAAATGATACTATGATTTTTTTCCTGTACATTTGAGAATAATTCACATCTGTTTAACCAGCAAGGACGAAAAGCTAATTAAAACATTTTATTTCATATCCGGGTTTTCTAACAACTACTTGTGATTTTATCTACTAGAACCACTCTGGTTTTTTCCTTATTTACACAGTTCTTCTTTGAAATACTGATTTGAAACATGGTACAGTGTGAGAAAGAGCTACTGATTGCACATCTCTTATTAGAGAATACAATTTCTGTTCTATCTATGTTTTAGTTGTACATTAAAATGTTAATGATTCTTTTTTATTTTTTTGCAGAAGCAAAACAAATGAACTCACAACAGAAATTAACAAGTTGCAGGAAGAAGTAGATATGTACAAGCAAGAGAAATCTGTCTATTTGTCATATGAAAAAAGGTGAGATGTATTGAAACAAATGCAGTGCTAACTTTCTCAGTCACAAGACTAGTCTGGTATTTTGCAGGCTTCAAGGAACCATTAAATAATTCTTTTCTTCATTATTTTGTTTTTACATATACAAATCTTCCCATATTAAGTTTGGCTTTTTGTTTTGTATTTAGGGCAGAGGCTTTAGCTGGTGAAATCAAAGAATTTCAAGGTCATCTAGCAGACTACAACATGGTATGCTGCTGTCAGCTTTTGATACTGAATGTTCTCCCGTCTGTCATTTACTTTGTCCTGCATTTGCTTTACTTCAGCATCTTTTTTTTTATTGACATTTCTCTATAAGAATGTACTGGTTAATTGTGCTTTTTATTCAGTTATTGGAAAAGATATAGATGGAAACTAAGGAAAACAGAAAAAAAGAAAGTGTTCTATACATTAGGAGAAGCAGTTGCATATGGCTTTAAGAAATTACTGGTGCATAATATTTGGAGGGTTTGTACAGTTGCATATGGTGATTACTTCTGAAAACTGCATATAATCTATTAAGATTCCCATACCATGTTTTTTCTGTTTGCAATAACAGAAAATTGCTGCCTTTTCATGAGTGCTTTGTGAGTTGCTACCTATTTGTCTGATTTTCTTGTTTATAATTTAAAAAAAAGGAGAGCAATAACAGGTTGGAGTTCTGTCTCATTTCAGGTTGTAGATATACTTAACACCAATACGGATATAGCAGAAGTGATTCGAGATTACAATATGGTAAGAATTAGGATATTTGCTATATTTGAACAGTGAAACTGTATGTGTTACATTCTTGGTCCTTCGAATAAACGACATATATAAAAAAGCATAGCACTAATTTAAAACTTACCCATTTTTCCAGTTAAATTAACCGTAATATTGGCAACGTGTTTGTAGTGAGACAATTGTCTAAACTGTTGCATTAACAGCCCCATGATAGTTTTCTGTGGTTTAGATTTCAGAAGGCTGTCATCTCAATGCAAATTATGAGTGTTAAAATATTTTCTTTATTTGAAGTAGAAGCATAGAACATTAGTCTTATGAAAGGCAAATTCAATAGACTGTGCTGCCTTGTAAAGCTGCCTGGTCTTCTGCAAGCTTAGTTCTTTTTTGTCTTCTGCCTTTTAAGTGACTCTAATGTAATAAATACTAAATAGGTCTCTCACATTGCCAACCACAAAATCAGTGAGCTTTGTTCTTCCTTCACTTACTTTCTTTATTTTCTAACACAGTTAGAGTGTTACTCTAAGTATGAAGGCATGACTGGCATTAAGCATGTTCCATTTCTTATGATCACCTTGTCCATAAGCAAAAGAAACTAGTTTTAGAAGAGGTTATTTTGGTACCTTGAAAAACCACCTGGATATTTCTTGGTCAAAACAATTTTTTTCCCCCTGCATTTGGTTGAAAAATAGTCACAATGACTGTGTCTTAAAGAGAAGAATGCTTTGCAAGTGCTACATTTTGTTTGTAGGCTTAAATAGTATTTTACTAAGTGTTCCAGGAATAGATCCCACAGTAATAGTAAGTGAAGTGATTTGTTACAAACTTGATTGTATTTCTTTTTCAAACATGCAGATGCCTTCTTACTTCCTTTGGTTTCCAGTGGAAGACTGCAATTTCAGAAGGTCTTTCTTCAGTATCAGATGTGAAAAACTTCTGGAGCAGGCAGCCTCTGCTGCTTCTTCCTCTACTGCATTCTGAGCAGCTTCTTGCTCATTTAGAGGAAACTTTGAATTTATGTATATAATTTGTATCTTTATTATTATGTATTATATTAAAATATATATATTTTTTTTTTTTTAAGTTAAAGGTTCAGAATGACCGAGACACTCAGAGCGTGGATAAAATTTTCACAGAAAGACAAGCGTAAGTACATGAAGTGTATGCTTCTCCAAAGCTGTGAAAATCATAACTGAACTTGGCAAAACTGAGGTGTTATCTAATTCAGAAGTTCCTTAAGAGTGCAATGCATACCACAAGTGATACCTGAGCAATTTCAAGATGATACATCAGCGCCAGGCTGCAGCTGGAGTTCCCAGCTTTAAACTCTTCTGAGTAAGTGTTGTGGAGATACTTAGCATGTCATCCAGGAGGAGTTAGGTGGCAGTGCAGACTCTTGACTTTTGGCAACCTGCAGTCAAGGTCCTGAGTTTTGGAGATTGTGTTGTGGAGTAGCAGAGTGGGGAAAGCAAGCAGAAGTGGGGACTAGAACTGAGATTCCTGTCTGGTAAGGTAAGGGTGTATGGAGGGGAAGATGAGGACAGTGAGATGCTTGCAGTAAGAATTTGTAAGCCATGAGAATGGCTTTTTTTGTGATAGGTTGAAAGGATGAGTTTCTGAGATGTTTAATTTAGGGGAAGAAGATGTTCAGGAGAAAGAGATGTGATCCTGCTTGTTTCCAGTAAGAGTGATCTCAACAATGAGATTTTATGTATAAATAAGCAGTTCTAAAAAACAATTTACCATTTAATAGTAAGTCACTTCTAAATAATACCATGGTTTTCAACAGCTTGCAAATGTGTCTACTCTACTCTGAATGCATTTTTAGGTGTTAAGAACAGATGAAGAGAAAAAACTTAGTTCAGTAGCAAACTAAGGCATAAAGTCATTAGAAATGCAGTAATGATAATATATCATTGTACTGCATGTAGACACATTTGAGGGAATGGAGCAGTTGGTCTTTTGTGCTCTGCTACTTCAGGTAAAAAAAACCCAAATGCTCTGTTCTCTGATTGTGTTAGTTTTGCGTAATAAACTACTGATCTGTGACACCGTTGATTTGAATTCAGTCCCCAGTCTGGCTGTGGTCTGCTTTGATGTTTTAGAGAAATTATTTTTCCTTTCTGGACTTCTTCACATAGAAAGCATTAGTAATTATGCCAGTTTCACAAGCGACTTCATAAAGACTTGTTGATGTTAAGCAATATACAGTAAGCTCTCTCACCCTGCCGTGAATAACCAAACATATTTTTATAAAAGGGGGATTACGAGTATTTTTTGCATGTTTTGAAATATTTGTTGTGACAGTGTGCAGCATGCACATCACCACATTTTTTGGCATCATGATTCATACAGCAATACCTTGTTATGGATTTGACGAGATGAGAGGAGATGGACTGCTTAGCCCCATTTTGAATTGTACATAAGTAGCGTAATATGGAAGTACAAATGTACTACAGTTTTGAAAAAAGTCAGTTCATCATCCATTGTTTAAGACATTAACTCTCCTCGGTTACATAAGAATCTATATATTTATCCTCAATAAATCCGTCTTCCCCAGGCACAAATGCATGAATTTTCTCAAATATTACTATGGGCTCTTCATTGCTGGTACACGATACTGTAGGAGAAGAACTCATGTCAGCTGAGAACTCCTGTTCAAACATCTGTGAGTCATTTTCTTCCAGACGACGGTGACTGTAGCTGACCAAATAGCGATACCATGTCGGGCATTTTATAGCAGTAAAAATCAGGAGTGTAGTGCTTAGGACAAGCCCTAGGACACCCGCTAGGAAGGTCCAGCTTTTGCCAAGAAGTGGTAAATCTTTAAACAGATAAGAAAAAAAAAAAGTCATCTTCATGAGGAATACCAGCAAAAAGTCTAGTATGTTTTTTTTCATAGTTAAACTGAGAACTCACAAAATAAACAATGATAGGGGAATTACTGAGTGTCTCCAAAGCTTTAGTAGAATGTTATTGCTATGTTATTAGGAAGTCAGCAGCATCACTCAGACCAGAAATGCACGTACATCTCCTATTTCCTAGCAATATAAATCCACCATGCATATGTATCAAAAATGGTAGTTTCAAAGTCACATAAAGTTCTGGGGACATACAAATGATAAAAGAATCATTTTTTCAATGTTTAAATTCCAAGATGGGCTTTATAAGAAAAGAAAAATAATCAGTAATTGACTTCAAATTCAGATTCCTAGGTTTAAATTTCTGTATGGTGATGATGCCTGCACCCTAAAATACTGCATCTTTTGTTTTGCATATCCTTTCATTTCTTTTATAATAAAAAAATCAATAGGAACAGGTGTGTGTGGCGGTGCTGGCTTACAATTTTGCTCATATTTGGAGACTGATATTTCTTCTACTTTAGCCAGAAGCAAGAAGTAAAGCATTTCGATATGGAAGAGTAGAGAAGAACATTAATTTGCTTGTAAGAAAACAAATTATTGACATTACTAACAGAAAAGCTAGACTGTTATGGAGCGCTGGTGGAATTAACATCAAAAGGTGAAGAGGCTATCACTGAAATTTTCAAAGAATATGGGATGGGCACATATGTGTCCTTTACACTGGACACAGTTGAGGGCAGGAGCAAAATTAATTGGCTTACTCTTTCACATTTTAAGAAGACAGCTATGTCTGGAAAGCAGTTAGTTTGGAAGAAGTAACTGAATTTTTTTAAAGATGCTTCTGTAGTTCTGTTTAGCAGAGATCTGGATCATTTGAGAATTCAAGTGTGGTTTATCCATTTTGAACACTTATTCAGTAGAGCTTAACATTCACCATAATGTGTGTGCAGTCTACCAAAACCTGGAAATACACTTGTTCTATAGCCCTGGCTTTTATGGAGGAATTAGTGTACTACAAATACAAAACGGTATGAAATTATGGAGCGGAAAATCAAACAGCTTGTAAGCAGTAAAGTGAAACATCAGTATATTACCTGCACGTGTTCCATTGTTTCCAGTGATGTTGTTTGGAGTCAGAGCTGTTAGTAAGGCCCTGCTTTTAAACTTAATGGCAAAAATAGAAGTTACAGTGTTTTCTAAAGAAGCTTTTTCAAATTTGCAGTCAGCTGGTTGGATAGCTGCCGTCTTGATGGAGAATTTTTCCATGGTGTTTGGGAATGTACATGCAGTGTTGTTTTCATTTGCTGTGGATGTGAGCAGTGGAAATATTGATATGAGATATTGTTAATAAATTGGCACTCTAATCTAAAAAAAAAAATTTCATGGATAACTAATGTATTATTCCAAAATACAGACAAGTTGATGGTGGATGTTATCTAGATCAGGAAAAAACAAAATAAGGCTGTTTGTTGTAAACAAGTATAAAATGCTGTTCTTACCACAACTTACCCATTGTCACACTGGAGACAGTTAGCCATATCTGTAAATCAAGGAGGTCACAGGAGCAGGTCCATGGGTTTCCAGCTAAAATTATTTCAGTCAATTTAAAAGATGATTTTATATGAAAAGATTTCAGAAAGTTATACTGTAGATTTAAAACTGTCAGACTTTTTAGAGAAGTAAATACATCTGAATCTAGTTGAGTAATCATGTTGTAGGACAGATTCAACACTGACAGTTGGTTTAACCCTGCAAATGCTGCTGTATGAACTGTGCTAATAAGATTGCTGCTGATATCCAGAATTACAAGTTTTGTCAGATCGCAGAAGCTGTTATTATACAGTACAGAAATCGTGTTTTCATTCAGATAAAGTTCAGTGAGGTTGATAAAACTTCGAAGGATCTCTTTGTCACTATCTTTTAAAGTGATTTTATTATTTTTGAGGCTTAATTTAGTAACATTTTGGAAGAGTTTAGCGGGGATGTTAGGGAGGTTCTTTCCAGACTCCTCACAAGTGACCTGTTGAAAAAAAGAGAATGGCAACAATTAAATACTGTAGGGAAGTCTGGTGATGAAGGTGTCTCAGTGATGACTATTAAGGGCATGAAGAGTCTTTCATGTATTTTTTAATGCCAGGACTTGAAAAGAAAAAAAATATTTCTCTTCATTTATCGTTTTCCTAATATACTCGTGTTCTGGTGATACAGGGGAAATGAATCCTCCTAGTGTATACAGATCTGAAGTTCCAGGTCACTTAGTGCTTAAACTCTGTTTGAGATGCAACACTCTTTATGTGATGATCATCCAAAACATAACCAGTTTGGCATACTATTTTGGAATTAGTAGGGCTGTCTGTTTTAGAATTCTATGTGAAGGTTGGCTGGATAGAACAAGGATTCCTTTCCCACATAATCTGGAAAGAAGGTATCATAGAGGAATTGGATTCAAGGCTCAAAATTAATTCAGATATGCTTTTTCAAATGTATTGTGTTGTTTTTAAAACAGCTATGTTTACTTTTCATCTTTAAAACTGTAAAACAGCAGACTTTCAACAAAATGGTATCTATTTTTATTATGAATACAGCACTTAAATTCATTCTTGTTTTCTGGGTTGAAGTTTAGCATAGCTGCTATTTATCAGGATTGAGAGTGTTTACTCTCCATACCTTGAAACACTTTTATTTTCTGAAAAAAGTAGATTTCTTTATATGTATAGGCATGCATCACTGCAGACTACAGTTTAGAGTTAAGATACTTGAACTGGCTTTAAAGGAGGGTCTAAGTACTGGAAACAGATTGATTGTGTTATCACTTTTCCTAAATAAGTAGCCTGTTTTCAGCTTGTTACTGTTGTCACCAGATTCAGTCTAGATAGCTTATTTAAAAACAACTGTTGGTGGAGTGCCTTTTCTGCACTGCATATACCCATTGCGTGGTTTTTTTGCTCTTCATATTTGTCCCAAAGATGAACAAGCAGTAGGTACTGTACTGGACCTGTAGCCAGTGAGTCAGAGCAAATAGTGCAATACCAGTTTTATCACTTGACTGTTAATCAAGACTTCTTTCTTCTCCTCCATTCCCCAATAAATGCAAAATCCATTAAATTAATCTCTGAAAAAAAACTTATAAAAGTTTCTTATGTGTATTTGGACCTTATTTGGGCAAGTGCTAACTCAATAAATCTCTTTAACTTGAGCAGTAGTTGGCCTTGTCCAAACAACTGTTGCTTTTCAGGTCTATTCCAACATGATTAATGAGGCACTCCTGTTGTCTGCAGAGGA